CCCTCCCCTTACCCCCAGCCCACCCTCCATTCCCACCTCCTCCAGGACAAGTCCTCCCCCAAGGACTGTGATCAACTTGGTAGACTCAGTGCAGGGAGGTCCAGTCCCTTCCTCCCAGACTGAGCCAAGTGTCCCTGCATAAGTTCCAGGTTTCAAACAGCCAACTCATGCCATGAGCACAGGACTTGGTCCCATGTTTATTTTTTTTTTTATTTTTTTATTTTTTTTTATTTGAGACAGAATCTCTCACTGAATCTGGGGCTAGCTTTCAATTAGACTGGCTGGCTAGAAAGGCCCCCAGAACTTTCTAACGCCTTTCTCCCAGCACTGAGATCACACACACATACTGCTCCATCTGGCTTTTTAGATGGTTTCTGGGACTCGGAACTCAGATCGTCAGGTCTGTGCCCTGAGCACTTTACTCAGGGAACCATCCCTCCTGCTGCCAATCCCCACTTGAAATATAAAAGCTGAGTGGAGTCTGGTTGTGCATACCTTTCAAATTCCAGCACTTAGGAGGCAGGTCTCTGTGAGTCTGAAGCCAGCCTGGCCTACATAGTGAGAGACCCTGAGCCAAACAAATAAAGGCGGAAGTAGTTTTACAGACTGTAGAGATCCCGGGACACATTCAGCACTCACATGCCACACCGGGTCATCCTGAGAGCAAGGCAGGCTTAAACTCACTAGTCCTGGTTTTCCTGGGCTTATCTGTTACAGCTGAGAAAAATGCACCCCACAGAAGGGAAGGAACTTGCAGGGCGGAGTAGCTGTTCCTTGCCAAGCTACCCTCCCTGCCCATGCATCCTTGCTTCTCGCATGCCTGAAATGCTCCAGCCAAGAGGAACCCCTTTCTCCCTGTAGGGCTGGTTGCTTTCTGGGAGGTCTTTGCTCTTTGTCATATTTTAGCTATCTTAGGGCGATAAAATGTCACCTTTGCTCTTTGTCATATTCTACCCATTTGGGGCCAGTAAACTGTTAGTGTGTTGTTGTGGCTTCCTAGTCTCTGCTAGGTTCACCAAACACATGAGAGCTGCCCCACAGCCTATTCTTTTGTTTTGTGGAGACAGGGTCTCACTACCTATCTCTGGCTGTCCTGGAACTCACTCTGTAGACCAGGCTGGCCTTGAACTTACAGAGGTCTGCCTACTTCTGCCTCTTGAGAGCTGAGATTAAAGGCATGTGCACCCTTGCCTGGCTATCTCTACTTATTCTAAACTTTGCAATTACTGAGATTGTTTTACCAGCAATACAGCTTCCTCTAGGTGTTTTATTTATTTATGTATTTATTGAAAACATTTTGGTCACTGTGAAAATATGAGGGATTTCTTTGGGGGAGGGTTGAGACAAGGTCTCACATAGCCTAGGCTGGCCTTGAATTCTCTATGTAGTTGAGGATGACTTTGAACTCCTGATCTTCCTGTCTCTACCTCTTAAGTGCTGAGATTATAGGCAGACACCACTATGTCCAGCCTAACGCTTGTTTTTATTTTGTTTTACTTTATTGCATTTTATTTATTTAGTGTTTGTGTGTGCAGCTGTGCTCATACTATGGTATATTATTGCATTTTATTTACTCTGTGTGTGTGTGTGTGTGTGTGTGTGTGTGTGTGTGTGTGTACCCATGCATATACTACAGTATACTTGTGAAAGTCAGGACAATTTGCAGAAGTTCTGTTCTCTTCTTCCACGTGGGACCTGGGAATCAAACTTAAGATTGTTAGGCTCGGCAGCGAGTGCCTTTGCCAGCCCCTTGAAAGTATGTTTTAACATGGACTTTTTAACCCAGGCTGTGTTGCATAAAATGGCTAATAAAGGACTAACTCAGTCATCCTCTGACCCCGATAGCTCTGTGACAGTGGGTTCCTTGTGTGGGAAGGATGGGGCAAAGGGGCGTGGGTGTGTGGTCACTCTGCTCAGACAGGGCAATCACAGCTGTAGACCAAGAGCCGTTCTCCAAGCATCTGCTCACGGCTCTGAGAGGCTGGCTCTGTCTTCCATCCCGGCTGCAGCCCAGGACACAGAGGTGCTTCTGTGACGTATGGAAAATCTTTTGTTTGGAGAAGGGCAAAGGCAGACCTGTGGGATATGAGTAAAGGGGGCTGGGACAAAACTGTGAGATGTCCGTGCAGACATTTACAGATGACACAGGAGATAGCTGGTTGGTGGGCGGTGCCAGGCTTGATGCTTCTCTGTGGTTTCCAGTGTCCAGGTGACGCTAGACTCACCAGCGTTTGGTGTGGAGCAGGATTATTCAAGCGTGTAATGGGGACAGGTGTGATGATTAGACAATGATGAAGCGATTGCTCCTGTTAGAGTCCCTGGGAGTCCCTGGGACTTCCAGGGAGAGCTGCACCATCAGACTTACCCAGACTAGCCTCAAACTCAAGATCCTCCTGCCTCAGCTTGAGTATTAGGATGACGTGTGCGTGCGTGCGTGCGTGCGTGCGTGCGTGCGTGTGTGTGTGTGTGTGTGTGTGTGTGTGTGTATACTTACTTCCACACAGCTGAGCTTCATCACTATTTTCTTTTGTGTGTGTATGTGTGGTGTGCATTTGTGTGTACATTCATATGTGTATGTACATGCCTGTGGAAACCACAGGTTGTCATCGGGTTATCTTCCTTGTTGGATTTGCTCCCCATTCACTGAGGCAAGATCACTTGTTAAACCTGGAGCTTCCTGATTCAGCTTAGTCGAGTCCTGACTCTTCAGGCAGGCTATGCCTGCTAGGCTTCTGTGTGGGAGCTGGGGGTTCAAACTCTAGTCTGTGGCAAGTGCTTTAACCACTGGGCACCTCCTCAGCCACACATTATGTATTTATTTATTTATTTTGGTTTTTTGAGATAGGGTTTCTCTGTGTAGTCCTGGCTGTCCTAGAACTTGAACCATTGACCAGGCTGGCCTCAAACTCAGAGATCTGCCTGCCTCTGCCTCTGGAACTAAAGGTGTGTGCAACTATGGCCCGGTTTATTTTCATTTTTTAGGACAGGGTCTTATATAGCCCAAGTTGGCCTTGGACTTCCTAAGTAGCTGGGATGACCTTGAACCCCTGACCCTCCCGTTCTGTCTCGCAAGTGCTATGCTACCACACCTGCCTTTTCGGTTCAGTTTTGTTTGCAGGGAGATTGAACTTTCAATGATTCTCCTGTCTCTATCTCCCCAAGTGCTGGGATTATAGGCATCTATCATCATATCTAGCTTCATTTACTCATTTGTGTGAGTGTCTTGTGCTGTAACCCCGGCTTGCCTGGGCTATTTATTCTTTTTTCTTTCTTCCAATTAAGAGTCTTACTCAACAGAGTAAGTTCCAGGCTGGCCTGGAAGTCCCTGCCATTCTTCTGTGTCAGCCTCTTGAGGACACAGGGATTACAAACCACTATCCACCCCTGCTTCCTCTTTACTCCACACAGTACCTGGAAAGTTACCTGCTGTCAGTTTCTCAGACCCTCCCTCGGGCATCTCCCACTGTGTGAGGCAGTGCTGAGGAAGTTATTAGCCATTCTGACTCATTATCATTTCCCTCTGCTCCCGGGGCTAACTGGGGCTAACGCCTTATCAGGCAGGGCTACAGTGAGAACCAAAATGTCTGTGCATTGCCTGGTGCCCTGAGGGCCCTGTCTCTGTCCTCTGGAGGGAAGTTTCTCCACCCCACTTCCTCTTCTTTTTTTGTTTTTAAGACAGGGCCATGTAGCCTTGACTAGCCTGGAAAACACTATGTAGACCACGGTAGCCACGAATGCAAAGACATCCGCTTGCTTCTGCCTCCTGATGCTGGGATTAAATGCGTGCGCTACTTCCAATGATTCTCCGGTCTCTGTTCACTCCTGTCTCTGTCCCCAACCACTCCTGGCTTGGAGGAAACTTTTTATATAAAGAAGAATTATGTGTATGTTTGCTTGTATGTATGTCAGCACCACGTGAGTGCCTAGTGCCCACAAAGGCCAGAAGAGGGCGTCAGCAGATTCCCTGGACTGGAGTTACAGACCGTGATGAGCCGATGAGCCGCCATACGGGTGTTTGGAATGGATAGAATGCGGGTCTTCTGGAAAAGCAGCAAGCTCTCCAGATCCGAGGAAACTTTCTGAAAGTCCACCTGAATTTCCAGTCAGGCACGGCAAGGCTCCTAGGCGCTAGGAAAACCCTAGTACTCTGACCTACCTAAGGAAGTCCTACCGCCGGGCGGCTCCCGGGGAGTGACCCATGCTGGCCTTTCTGCGGCTTAAGTAGGCGCTCCTTGTTTGACTGACAGGGGAGGCTGCTAATACTCACCCAGGGAAGTCCCCTTGAGCGTGCTTGGGGGCGTGCCGCCTCTGCGTTGGTCTGTCCAATCCGGAGCGCGGACGGGGCTGAAGGGCGGGGTCTGAATCCCGACAGCCAATAGGGCGAGCACAGCGGGCGCGGCGGGGGCGGCGCGGTCTCGGCTGGCGGCAGAAGCGGCCGCGGCGGGTCTGGGC